CGCCCCGCCGCGGCCGCGCGGCGCGCCTCTCTGATCCGCCGGCCGCGGCCGCGCCCCGCCGCCGGGCGCTGCTCGCGTTTCCCAGGGCGCCGCTATTGTTTAACGGGTGCCTGCCCTGCGCCCTGCGCCTTGCTACCACCTCCCGCCCCCTGCTACATATGTACAGTACCCTGCTACCAGCTACATTTGTAATCTGCTCCCTCTGCGCCCTGCTGCCTGCTCACTTCGCCCTGCTCGCCCTCCTTGCTACAGCTGCACACAGCTCCCTCTGCGCCCTGCTCCCCGCTACATATGCACCCTTCTGCCTACGCCCTGCTCCTTGCTACAGCTGCACTTCACACAGCTCCCTCTGCGCCTTGCTCGCTGCGGCCTGCTCCGTGGCCATCGTGCTTGTGGTGTGGGTGGCTGGTTCCCCCGGGCACCCTGCTGGCTGGCGGGGCGACTCTAGCCCCGCCACGCCGCGACCCCGGCGCCTGCCTGCCCTGCCTGGCCCTGGCGGCGTGTGTCGCGTCGCGAGCCGCGGTGCGCCGCGCGGCGTTTTGCGGCCTCAAGGTCCCTGCCGTTCGTGCGGCGAGGCCCAGAGAGGCACCGCACCGGCCCGGCCCAGCCGAGCCGCTCTACCCCGTGCCGGCGGCGCTAGCGGCCTTGGCTGCGGGCGCAGTGTGCTATACACACACCGTGCACGCCGCCCCCCGCTGGAGGGTGGCCGGGTGGTGCGGCGCGGAGGGCTGCAGGAGGACGACGCCGTCCTCGTGGTCGTCCGCGGCCTTCGGCACGAGGCCGGCGCTTATCAGCCTGTGGTCGTTCACCGCGTGTGCTCTGGTGGCCCTCGCCTCACGGACAGCTACAGCTGGGGTGGGGTCAGGGTGTGGTGGGAGCGGTGGTGTTGTCACCGGCTGGCGGCCCCGCCCCGCCCCGCCCGCCCGCCCGCCCCTGTGCGTCACTGTCTCGCCGCGGACTGACCAGCTGGAGGGGCAGGGCAGGGCGCCGCCAGCTCGAGTCAAGTCCGCGGGGAGAACACCTCTCCTCTTCGACCGCGATGAAGTCTCTTCGTCTTCGACCCCTTCGACCGCGACGAGGAAGACACGTCCCGCTTCGCGCGGCGCTCCTCACCTCCACGGCGATCGGCCCGGGGGGGGGGTAGAGCTGTGCGAATTGGTCGATATCGAATCGGGCCGATTCTAATTCTACCGATTTCGACCTCGTACTATTTGATGTGGCGAATAATTATTCATAATTTCGAATCGGATCCGTTCGACTTCGAATCAACGAACTTATTGGGAAATCGTTTTCGGGCGGACTGCCTATGTACTTTCTGCGCATATTCAAACGACAAAATAGATAATGTTTTGTAACAAAAAATGTATTGTTCAATTGTTTCTGATGGATTCGATTTGGACTCGAATCAAGAAAAATTCGATTCGAATTTTTTAGGCCAATTCTATTGGAATCGCAGGAAATTTGTGAGATTCGAACCGATTTGTTGGGAAAACCTTGATGATTGCAACAGCTCGAGCGGAGAGACAGCTGTGGTTACGTGTTGTGGAGTTGGACGAGTGTGTGCGACATTGACAGGGGATCCCCACTCTCTCACACACTACCCCCACTACCCCCCACCCCCCACCCCCGCGCGGGCTCGTGGGGATGCGTCCCCTTTCCCCAACAACACTCCTCGCACTTATCAGTGTGGGCTGGAATGTCTGCTGATAAGAGATCCAACGCTGGCCGCCGGGCTGGAGAGATTGCTGTTGGGCGATATGGCGGCGTTTCGAGGCGTTTGCGTCTAATTTCTATTTTTCTCAAGTTTCGATCTTGGAACGCTTCGAAACGACAAACAAACGGTTGCTGCACAGTAGCGAGTACCATTGCGACGCCAATGAGTGTGTCTGCTCTGCACTTCAGTTTTATAGTACTGTAATGCAAAAGGGTAAGAGGTCGCGCTCGGTAAATGCGGCCAGAGTGCTCCAAGAAGTGAACCGAAATTGCTTGCTGTTTAAGCAGTCGCTTTTACCGCGCGGCAACGCTCCCCGTCGAGGCCCTAACCGCCATGGCGACGACGTACAGACAACACGCTGAAGCAGGCACGGTATACGGAGGGGGCGACAGGGAGGGGGGGGG